CTTGTCCAGCATTGCTGCACCAATAAATTGTCAGCCCTATTAGATTAATTCTAATAACAAAAAAACATCAAATATGGATGGATTAGCCATTGGGTTAATTACCATCTAAAAATACGAAGTAAGGAGAAGTTTCAGCCCAACAGCTCATAGGACGTAAGGTTCTGATTGCTGTTCAAAAATAATATAAAAAAACTTGAAAATATATTTTTTTGAATGATATGCACATTGAATAAGCGCTCATGTGTTATAAAGTATTAGTTTTACACAAATATAATATGTATATTAATAATATTAGCACGTTTCTATGTTCAAGATAAAAATATATGTATAACGAAGATCACAGCAAACATAATTAGCAATGTAGGGCAACTGTCAGAAAATAATTCTCAACGTAGGCGAATAAATATAGCTGTTTTTTTTTTAAATGTTACACGCGACAAGGTTACGCCTCGTTCACGGCCAATTTTTACATGAATTCCACAAGTTTTCTGCTGTGATATTTATAAGAGTTTATTGAACTCTACTTTAAAATCAGCGTTGCAAAAAAAGAAACTAATAATCCTGGCGAGAGAAATATTAAATTACTTAGTAGAAATTACACGGAAGTAGAATACAACTGCAACTAACTTTTTTTTTATTTACAAATATAATAGCAAACAGAATCTTATTATTCTATAAGCTATTGAGATGTTTTTAAACTCAAAATTGTTTTCGCATATTTGGCTTGTTTAGGAAACTCTACAATTAGCATAAATTTATAAAGTTAATATGTATTGAAATATAATACATTGAAAATGTATTGAGAAAAATTGATTATTTATCTAATTGTCTTTTTTTATGTTTTTTCAATTAACTTATTCCTTTTGCAGTGAAATATAGATTTTATCAGATGAAGAATGCTTATTCTCACATATTTATATTCCAACTCGACACATTCGTTCACAGAAAGGTTACTGATGCTAGGCAAAATATATGGAAATTCAATCAGCATTATTTCTAAATTATCATTTCAATCGATGGTGTTTCGCTGGTGTTGAAATCTCATTGGTCTATCAATCTTATAAATAATCAAATTAGGGTAAACAACTGTGCAAACCGGCCTCGAAATTATTATGAATACTAATTATTACTATGTATGTCGAATAAAAATTTAATTTTATCAAATATACGGACTAAGCAATTTACATACTTCTTTACAATGTGTTTCGGAAGCAGTAGAACGCACCTAAAAAGTCTCACTTGAACAAAATAATTTATTTAGCAAAAATATGGCATAAAAGTTACACACGCAATCCTGCACATAATTTCTATGGTTGCAGAATATACAGCCAAATCATATCCTCCACCGAACAAACTTGGCACGAACATCTTTTTCATTTTTTTATATCAATTGTCAGTTTTATTATAAATATTTTTCTATCATATTCTAATTTTGGAATCAAATAAATTATACATCAATTTTTTTTCTTCGCTTAAAGTTAATCAGGTCATTTCCGAAGGCTGACTATATTACAACACTAAAAATAATAAACGATTTTTATGAAAAAGGTTATGAAAATATTACTATTTTTCCTCTTCCAAAAATAAAACAAATATATAAATAGTTGAGTCTGTTCGCCGCCTATTTTTAGAAAGACTGTGAATGTGGTTCCTTACAAATTCATATATGAGATGAATATCACCAGGCACTCAATATTTCGGCGCTATGTTTTATATTTGCCAGCAAAACTGTTTATAGTTCATCATAAGCAATACATTATGCTCGTTTTTATGATGGAAGAATTTATAAATTTTCTGAAAGCTAATTTCATTCAAAAGTTTCTGAAAATTTTCAATTCGCTAAATTACATAATAAAATATTATAGTTTTTAGGATTTTTTCCTATATTCGTTGGGGTGAAACTTTTCCTTACGTTGTATTTTCAGTTGGTAACCCAATGGTTGATCCATCCATATTTGATTATTTCATTATTAGGATTTATATAATTGCGCTGAGTTATATTAATCAATTTGATACATCAATTACTGTGAATGCCTATTTGCACTTGGAAACATATTAAAGATCTACATTTCCAAGTGAACTTTTCCGACAACTGCCCCTCAAGAAATATGTTCTGATCTCAATTTTATTTTAATGAGATATGCTCTAGATTTTATTTCAAGAAACAATTAGTTGACCAAAAATGTGCGTATTTTGCAAAGAGTAAATTGGAGAGTTTATTTAATTTGTATTTGAATTTTAAATGAAGTTTGTAATCGGATATAGGGGTGGCACTTATTTGTAATTGTATTAAATTGGGAACAATACAATATTTAAGTAACTATGAATAGGTGAAATTATTTCATGTATGTGAAATTAACATAAAAGAAAGTTATTAAATAATATTATATGAAATTGTATCATGATAAAACTCAAATTGAACAGAATGCGAACATATTTCCGCCCCACTTAACTTTTCGACATAGAATCGGATATGAGAGCCACTCAAAAAGGCACATTGAAGCTTTCGCTGTCCAATGAGCGATTTATTTCTCGATTGGATTCGGTTAACATATAACACGAGCTGTTTAAACATGTAAATTTTTATGGTCTCTGTTATATATTAGTTCATTTTTATTATATCAAAATTTTGCGAGTGTTTACCATAGAAACTATTTCAGAATTTCAGCTGACCCAATTTTTTATGAATATAATTTTAATATACATAGTTTTATTTTATATTGTTGGAATAGTTATGTAATCTGTAGATTTCGGGCCATTTTATCTTTTTCTAAAATTTGCTTGTATAGAAAGTTTTGCATAAATCATATTAATGAAAATTGCAAATATATATCTACTATAATTGGCAAGATAAATATTTAAGACAAACCTACAGATGGACAATATGTATGAAATGAACATTCACATTTTTGCAAATTTTTAGCCATTATTAATTTACTTCTGACTATTAAGTATAAAATATTTAGAATTTCTATATTCTCATTTAAGAACCCGTTATAACTAATTACTCTCACAGATGATTTGAAAGTAGACATCATAACTAGATTAAACGGTGCTTTAGCATAAAAGTTAATTTTTAACTTGCTTTACTTATTTTTGTTATTTTGTTAAATGTTATAGAGATTATCCGGATTTGCAATCCCATTACACTATTTTTTGCCTTTTTGTTTCTAATGTTTGAATTATATGAAACTAATATTAATTGAATAGTTTACATGCACATAAATTTTATATTCAAATACTTGTTATTTTGGGAGAAAAATATAAAATTTATCTTATTTTTGAATCTTTTAAAATTTTATATATAAAAAACTAAGGAATCACATAGAAGAAACATTATCGTTAAACTATGCTTAAAAAGCTGTCTTTGCTGTTTAATCGGCTATTTTACACATGAAACCTAACCTCCAATTGGCTCAAACCTGAAAGTTTCAATTTTGGTCAGACTTCACGCATGTGTTACCAGAGTGACATCAGAGAGTTGTAGTGATGATAAAATTCAAATTTGACATGGAAACCTTTTGGAGGCTAGGATTTATGTGTGAATAGCTCGATGGAACAGCAAGGAGATAGTTTTTTGACAGTTTGTGACTACCAATTCATACGATTTTAGACCCGCAATATAACATTTTCATTTCATCCGAGAATTGGCCCTTAGGATAATCCACCTATTATAACTACTTGCATATTTGATCTTTGTGTAATGTTACTACTATTTTCGACGTGATCGATTTATGATTGTCCTAGTAACTACTTCTAATATTTTTGTAAGAATTATCAGGAAAATGAGATAAAATGAAAAATTTAATACAGTGGTACCTTGACATACGAGCTTAAAGTTTAATTCGTTTCACTCGTATGTCGAATCGCTCGCATCTCGAAGCACTTTTTCCATATAAATACATTTATATTCGTTTCTGCAAATGAATTAGACATGTTTTGTTGAACAATTCCTCACTTTCGATCTATTGCAACTTTTTTGGGTGGATTTTTATTCACAAATAGTCCAGTCATTATAGTAAGTTTACCTCGGAATTTGAGATACCCAGCTGTACGTCTGTATATTGACACCCTAAAAATTGTCTCAAAACCTACATATCTTAGGATATACGTACCATATGTAGGTTTTGAGACAACTTTAGGATGTCAATATACAAGTATTTACAGACTTACAGCTGGGTATCTCGAATTTCTAGATTCTTACCTAATTTAAGCTTAAATGACTAGACTTAAACTTTTAGAGCTCAGAAAACTGCTTATAAATTATTAAAAGGCCCTAAGCTGGACTTACACCCTTTATCAAATCCTTCTGTTTAAACACAGTACATACTTATGATGGTAAATCTTCGTCATCCTCATATTTTTCATCAATTTCTCGCTTTAATTAAAATAGTAAATAATATTTTGTAAATGTACAAAAAACAAAAAACGTGAACTCAACATAAACAAAACCCTTTCCACTCGGATGCCGCTGCTCCGGCGGCAAAATACATATAAATCTCGCAATTCGCGAGTGGAAGGGTCGATATATAATTAAAATTTCAAACGCTAAAATAATCGTTGATATATTCGCGTGGGTAAATCGTTACTACATATTTAATATTGATTTATAATTGAAATGACTAACCATAAAATATATTATATCATAAAACAGCCAAAATAATTTTGTGGTAGGAAAATCCTTGAAACATGAAAAACTACTGATAAAGTTTTTCATGTTTTCATTTTGCTATTAACATTTTTGACAAAACTCTTACTCGCTCAAAGCTCGTATCTCGAACTCTACTCGTATGTCAAAGCAAAGAATCGCTCTTTGGGCGGCTCGTATCTCGAAAAACTCATATGTCGTATGTCGAGATACCCCATACCTCGTATGTCGAGGTACCACTGTATGTTTTTATGATAACTCGACTATAACATGATATTTCCCTTATAATAAATGTGCAGCTAATAATTTTTGATTTTTTTTTTTTTACTAATTTTTCCCTATTTCTTTTTAGTAGCAGCCTTAACGCAACCAGGGCGGCTGAGGCGTCGCCCGCTTGCGGAATGCACCGCGGACTATTCAGCGGCCCGGCTGTCGGTCGTGCGCAACCCCTAACGTCTGTACCAGGACAGGCAACAAGTGGGTCGGTGGCGAAAATCGCGGGTCTGTATGACCTCGAAGACACTCTAGGTAGCGGTCATTTCGCAGTCGTCAAATCTGCTAGGCATGTCTTCACAGGCGAAAGAGTCGCTGTGAAGGTTATTGATAAGACGAAGTTAGATGAAGTTTCCAGAGCTCATCTGTTTCAAGAGGTATGATAATAGATTATATTAAAAAATGTGTGAAACTAGGATAAAATTGACAAAAGCCAAAGCATTTTTACATCAAATGGAAATATTATAAGTTTAAACTTTAATATTGCAAAATTTTATTTTCCAGAAGATGATTGTTTACATGTTTTAGTAAAGTAATAAATCATATAATAAATAAAAAAGAGTGCGCGTAAAGTTCACACGCGATTGCAGTAAAACTTATTTGCTACTGTACAAGATGGCATTTAAGTGAAAATAAATACATCACATAACACTTTTGAATAATGTTTATTAGTACTATAGTAACACTCGTGATGCACACATTTATTAGTGTCAACCATTATACACATTTATATATTGATAAATTATAAATTAGATATTTATAATATAATAGCATTAAAAATGTGCAATATTTAAAAACAATAATGTAATTAAAGTCATACTTCAAATATGACATGATCGGTTTGTCATTGTAATTAGCATTTAGAAATGAACCTTCATTAGAGAAATGAAGTAACTGCTGATTAATAAATTCTACAATATTCGTTCACACAGTGGATTATGTTAAACAACGTCTGAACAAATATTGTTTTCGCAACTTCACTCATCATGTAATTGTGTTTGAAGAACTTCATGTAATTAAAATTAACATACATTCATTGACTGGTTGTATTTTTTTTACTTTTTCGCTGGCGATATAATCTCATTCTTTGAGCAACTGTAATATCTGTAATGCCTAAAAATATTTTCCATTTTAATAACTTCAAAGATTTATAGAAACCACGAATAATTTAGAAATAATTTCTAATCAATAAACTTACGTTTAGTACACGCACAAATGTTTAATTTGTTTTATTGTTTTCAAGGAACAGGGTAAAATATTCTTCTGATTCAGGCAATTTTCATTAAATCAATATTTGTACTACGATGTAACTTTAAAATGTTTATTGATCTATTCCGATTTCCTTGTTAATATCGGTACGCATACAACAAAAGATCTCTATTCACATACACGACGACTAATCACATTCGACCTGTATAGAAATGATTTCATCGAGAGCGAATGACGTACAGTTCGGGCGTAACGCAATTTCCGTTGCATTCTCATAGATTTACACCCTAGTCGCGCCTAAAGAAGTTTTACTTCAAAATATATTTACAAACGATTTTGTTATGTTGTATTTTTATGTATTTAGAATCATATCAGAAATCGAACACTTCATTTCAAGAGGCTTGTTTATGCTCTTATAGCAAGTATTTACCTATCGAATATCTCGAAAGACCCATATCTGATGAAATAATGATTTGATAAAAATATTTTTAGACATCCATTTAAATTAATATAATTGTGTTTATCCTACTGTAACTTGGTGATTCAATAATTAATTACGATTATCTATTAAAAATGACATGATTTTAGATATAAAATGACTAATTATCTCAAGGGCCATGGCAAATCAATACTGATAAAATATTTAATATTTTTGAGTGATTTAAATTATATCACACATTATATCACAGTTTTTATAATTTTAATTATAATAAAACTTGTAATTTCACGTTTTTCTCTATAAGCTTCTTCTGGAATTTGATTTTTCTGGTAAATGTGAAAATATGACCTCAGCATAAATATTATAAATCTAAAGACTGCATAACTAAATGTAAACTTTGAATCACATTCATATAATGAATATTGTTTCCGTTACACTAATCTTTATTAATTACTGACTAATTCGCAAACAATTTTTCAGATTTATATCTAAAATATTTATGAAATGAAGTCTCATTAATTATATACAATCAATACCTGCTTTATCTAAAATGATAATAATAATTGTTGTATTTTAATTATCAATGTTTCAGTTAAGAGTAGGAAAATTTTGAATCATTTTGAAGGTGACTCATCGTATCTAGTTTTGCAAATTCATAACAATAATAGTTATGTGATGGTCTTATTGAAAAATTCCAAAATATTGATATATTTATGGATATATCAATTTTATAACATTTATCAAACGAATTTGATTGATTTACCACCTGTCATCAACTGACTTTTCCTTTTTCTTTTTTCAGGTGCGATGCATGAAATTAGTGCAACATCCCAATGTGGTTCGATTATATGAAGTGATTGACACTCAGACCAAACTCTACCTGATTCTTGAGTTGGGAGATGGAGGTGATCTGTATGATTTGATTATGAGACATGACCGTGGCCTGGACGAGCCACGGGCTAAGGAATACTTTCGTCAGATAGTTCGAGCGATTAGCTATTGCCACAGGCTTCACGTCGTTCACAGGTATATTAAATGTTTCTTGAAGAATTGCGGATAGTTCACACGCTTTGCACACCAAAGAGCATTTGATGATGAGAATAATATATTATTTGGTTTTAATATATAATTATACAAGAGTACTTGAAGTCCAAATCACACGACACTTGTTTCCTGGGCTGGCGATCCATGCTGGATTTTATCGTGGATGTCGGCGCTAGATATCATGATAGTTTTTCAAGCCGTTTACTTCGCACAATGCGTGAAAGCTTACTAGATTTTTAAGTAAGATTTGTTTTAACTAAAAAAATCTAGCAAAGATTTTTAAATATGATAAACCACATGACAAAATACTGTCTCCCTTTTGGTTTGAACAAACGAACTTATCCCATAGACCAGCAGACCAAAAAAGCAATGAATCAAGCGTCGTGTGATTCGAGCTGTAAGTGATGAAGCTTTTGAAAAATCTTTATCTAGTTAAATAAACAGCAGTACAAATCGGCTTGCTATTTTCAATTTAAGTATAGTACATCAATGACTTACAAAAATAAAACCTCATCGAACGCTTTGAAGTATCTTCAACATTACTCGACTCATTTTTGTTTAGTAAAATAATATAACACACAGATTGCTCTCTTTATGTATTTCAATATTTTTTTGCACATTTTTCTAAGAATATATTCCAAGACAACAGTGGTTCAACAACCAAAATATTAAAATATGATTATGTTATAAATCTTATAAAATTGGAATTCGGTTCTTATTAAGTTGTGCTACATGTTAAGGGTAATGTAGATGAGCTCCTATATCAAGCAATCTTCTAAATCAACTTTAATTTTTATTGAACAATATAAATTTTGCTATTACTAATTTAGATTAACAATATTAGAGATTTCGAGCACAGCCAAAGTATTTTTTTCAACTTACCGTATGGTATTAACAAAAAAATGGAAAATGAATATTTTTATATATCTCTACGTTTGAAAGGTTTCTGAACATTTTTTGGCATACTTTAGAAAGTGATACCTTAGAAATGGATATATGTGTGTGTGCGGATAAAAATTTTTGTCGACGTCGATTTCGAGAACTCGGATCAACCAATTTGAATAACTTAAAAAAACGTTCGATTTTTATTGAAAATGAACTAATTAGTTTTTGGCACATGGAGGATTAGCCGTTGATAGATATGGGGAAAATGGTAATTCAATTTTTGATAGAATAAAATTTTATTTATATAGACTAACTGATGAATAAAGAGCTGATTAAGTTTTTGGAAAGGCAAGCCTAGCCGTTTTAAATAAAAAAGGTTGGAATTTACCCTGATGGGCGTAAATGTAAAAAAAGAAACAGCGACACAGTCTTTGGAAAGTAATAAAACAATCTGTTTTGTGGTGTCGAGTGAATTTTTTTACTAGAAACTGAGACTATTAAATTTTTTATTTTTAATTTTCTATTTTTCAACATTTTAGTTATTTGGATTGTGCAACATGAATTGATACATTTTTGTGATTTTATGATGTGGGTATGCTTTAAAACAAATTTATTGGACTACCTATAAACATACATCATATTAATCTAAGCTCAAGAATACCCAAACTTTTGAAGTTGATGAACTTAGGCCATCATAGGAATATGTTAACATAATATTTTATGGTCTCATGTGCGAAACAATGCTGGTTAAAGATCGAGATTTTATAGACAAGACTATTTCTATCAGGAATTTACATAAAGCAACAAACATTCAAATATATCTTTTGCTTACATTATTTGCAGCTCATACAATGTTTATGTAGAGATCTTCTCTAGTTAGATGGCTGGCGCCGCGCTGTTTCGAAAGTGTTGTTATGAAAGTTGCAATGAAAAAGCAAATTGAACTATGTAAATGATTATTAATACTATAAACTGTACATACACAAACATAACATTTATTAGAGTGGCGATTTGTGCGCATGTATTATGTTTAAATAGTACGTTTAATTGCAAATGCCATTGTTGAATAACATTTCATTCCATTATTATTTGATTTGATATATATATATATATATATATATATATATATATATATATATATATATAATATAGATACAAAAAGTATAAACTCATCATAATCATAAAATGTTAATGTAAATACTATCTTGGCTTATGACTACAAATCAAGGTTGTACAAGGTGAAGTTCATGGCTCTTCATTATATCATATGAATCAATATTGAAAATCAAAACAGTTTTAGTTATTAACACACTCTTAAATATTCATATTCACATTATTTAAAGATAGTGGAACTTTTTTTTAATGCAAAAGCAAATAGCACACAGACGTTCTAACAAGTTGTTATACAAATATGCGAGAATTGTAAATTTGTAAAACGGTGTATGCAATTTTATGATCGCAAGAAATTAAAATTCAGTTTTAATGTATAATATTTGAATAAAAATTATATAAACTGATTCCTAATACATGCATTATGTTTTACTTTTGTTCGGCTATTAACACACAATTGAAATTTTTAAATATACATATTTAACAGATGAATTTCGATCCCATTTTTTTAAGTTTTAATAAAAATGGCAGTGAAATGTACACGATACTAAGTTCTGAATAAATGAAATAGACGTTTGGTTCATATAAATATTATACTTAGTATTAAAAGTTTTCATTGTTGAACTTACATTATTTTCATCATATAACCAAAATTATTTTAGGATTGGATTTTCTGATTTTGGACAGAGTAAATAATTCCGGTATTTCGACCGATTTAGTTAGGAAATAAATATATAAAATATTTTTCTGTACGTTCTAAATATCTTAACAACAACATCCCTATCCCCGTTTTACACGTTTCTGATCTTACATGGTTTTTGAAAATAATTTTTTTAAACTAAATTTATTAATTTTGCATTTCCATGAAATTTTAAATACCAAACTATAATTTACTTATACTCAACAATAACATTTTCATTGTCCTACAGTCAAAATACCACACTACAAAATATATGTTGTAGTTACTAATTTTCAGTCTTTGATGGAAATATGCAGATAAGATTCCCTTCTTATCTTTCAGTTTTATGATCAAAACTAAATTTTAAGTGTGTATATGCTAGTTTGTTTGAAAAGCCAAAAAATAGCATCATGATTGTTGAACTTTGTTTCTAGTTAGTTTTTATATATCATTGATAATACTATTAAATATGATGAATCAATTTGTATGAATTCTCAAATATATGTAAAACTAGTGGTGTATGGCATCGTGCCTTAAGGCAAATTGCTAAGGTTTCCCGTAACAAAAATTCATTTTTTTAAAAAATGATTCAGCTTTTTTTAACTGAAAAAATTACATTTTTAAAAATTTTAGAAAAAAAATTAACTTTCTTGAAAAAAAAAAGAATTTTTTTTGTATTTCGAAATATTTTGGAAATTTTGAATTTTTTTTTAAAGCAATCGCGTTTTTTAGCATAGACATATCGAAGCGCGTAAGCGCCGCGTCGCCGTGTCATGGTTACATCAAAAGATGTTACGGTTTCCATATAAATATAAACAAAATGTATGCGTATCATTAAAATCTCCATAAAATATTTGATAATTTGATGTGCATATGTTTAATGATAATTTTTTGTTACTTTTTTTACTAGATCTCCGAAACCGCTGGACCTGCCTTCCCAAAAATTTAATCAGTTCTATATTTTGTCGATACAAGTGAAATGTTTTTCGAATTACTAAAATCGGACGCTCCGTTCTCTTAAAAACTGAGTTATAGTTTTTGGCACTTCTGACCCGTATCTTCGAAACGGCTAGACCTGCATTTGCCAGAAACTAATCAGCACGTCTCTTTATCAATAGGAATCGAATGTTTTTTAAATAATTGAAATCGGTTGAACCGTACGTGCTCCCGAAATCGTCTACGAAAATTTGTATCGCGCACACACACACACACATACACACATAAATCCATTTTTTCTAAGGTATGACAAAGTGTTCAGAAACCTTTGAAACATAAAAATATATGAAAATTTTCATTTTCGATTTTTTTTGCGAATATAACTTACCCCACGGGAAGTTAAAAATATGTGCAAAGATTTTCACAATCGGTAACATAGGAAATAAAATCTTATTCTCGCATAGAGACGAAAGAATTAGTATATGTAAATTCTTGTGAAGGCATTTAAATAACCAATAACTATATTTGTTTAATTTTATCAACATGTTTGCTAACGTCAGTGAGTGTGAAAATATTATAAAATGGAAATAGCTTGATATGCATTATTAAAATATTTTGTTTGCTTTATAGAAGGACACGCGCTTCTGTGTACCTGAAATGTTTGAACATATGTTTTGTGTGTTATTATTGCGCGATTATGGCTCGGATACGGCATTTATTATTTTCGTTCCGTTCGGCCTTCAGATCGCGACTCTGAAATCCACGGCATATCAAATGTCCTCTGCCGAGTGACATAAGGCAAATTTTGATGATGTTTCAAAGTTCAAAACAAAAAACAATGTAGAAATAAGTAAAAACATTTAATGTAACAATGAATATTATTGTTTCGAAGATGGCTATTCTATTATGACCAGGCATATTTAGAGAATAACTTCACAAACGACTTTTTGTAACAAAACTAATAAAAAAAACTGGCAAGGTCATGTAAATGTCAAAGCAAATTGGTTTAAATTCAAGTAATTTTTCCTCGACTAAATATTTATTATTTGTATTTAAATAACTTTGTGGAACATACAACAAATGAAAACGAAATCTGTGAAATCATAATTTCAAATTTACTATAATGGAAATATTCAGATAAGAATCTTATCATAAGATGGCCACTCCCAATTTTATGATTAAAACTAAATTTTATGTGCGTATAAGCTAGTTTGTTTGAAATACCTAAAAAAGAGCATCTTGGTTTTTAAAATTTGTTTTTAATCATTATTTATATAAATAATACAGACTTAGGGGGCTTTCATTAATTACGTGAGCGCGTTTTTAAGGATTTTTGAACCCCATTTTGAACCCCCCTTGGTGATACATGGTGATATTAAGATTTGTCAAGTGCCATTGATAAATAACTATTATATTATTTTTTTTATACCAGCGATTTAACGACGCTTCTAATTCAGTAAATTATTATTAACTATTAAAAGGTGCTCGCTAGTTATATTTAGAAAAAAATAACAATTATAGCATTTTTTGTAGAATCTTTGGAAATAAAGTCTGCAGATTACAAGTTGCAGTATGAAAGACATATAAATTTCGTTAGAACATGATGGTTTTCTCCATACTTTTTCATTCTCCGATTAAAATTAAAATTATTTCATTTCATTGACTAAATGCATATAGAGTAGGACGGGGCACAAAGGTCCAATTTGACTTTCAGTAATTATACTGAACTACATGGACTAAATCACAGTACATAACATCTATGAAACAAACAACTATCGTAGGGTAGAGCGGGGCTAGTTGAGCATAGGGACAAGTTGAGCAATCGAAATATCTCGAAAACTATTCACCGTCCGTTTAGGCATTATATGGCGGAAAGATAGAGATTTGGAAGAAATAAACATCCCGCGATCGCTAGTGGCCGCTGGACAAATAAGTGAGCTTCACGGGCGTTTTGTTTATTTTGAGACCAAAAAGTAAAATAGTAATTCATCACGGGTTTTCGTCTGGTTTAGTCAAATGTTATTTATTTTTAATCAGGTAAATGTTATTTTTCCATATGTTTATAGTACTTTTAATATGCACAGATATTCTGGGTATAATTCTCACGGTTCTTTTATAAACTCACTTTTATTATGAAATTCCGAGTTGGGGTTAGTTGAGCATAGTTGCTAAACTTGTTCTGTCATTAAGACAATTACCATTAACTTCCAGAAATTAATTATTATTTTCAAGATTTAAGCTAACTCTATGAGTAATAATATAAAGAAATAATGATTTTAAACAAAAATATTGAATATAATGGTAAAATAATTCCTAAGATACGATATTGTTTTGTTGATTCTACTTTTGGTTAATTATTCAAAAAAAATTACTATAAGTTTTGTTTTCTCTGTCAATAAAGACTATAAATATAGAACTGGTTAATAAAAATTTATTTTATTTCATCACTAATCGACATTGAACCTATGCTTTCATTATACATACTTTCTTAGTGCTCAACTTGCCTCACCTATGGGGTACATTGAGCATACTTGACTTTTTGCATTTAAACAGCTGTAGCTTTTAAATTTTACCTATTACCAAAAAATAGTATTAACAATTTTGTTAAGCAATAAACAACAAATCCATTAAGCCGTATAGCAATTTATTGAGACTTTTCATTGAGGAGCTACATCCGTCTAAGTAAAAATTTGCTCAACTAGCCCCGCCCTACCCTACTATATTCAGTAAAATTCCCATTTAGTTTATAATTAATGAAATGTGTTTTTTTACTATTTTTCTAAAATTTGTAGTCAGAGTAGAGGTTCAGTTGATTCTTTTTATCCCACCTTCCTAAAATGAAAGGTATTATAGAGATTATATAAAAACATCTGTTGAATCTAACTTAAAATTAACATCTTATAAAACAAATAAATAATGTATACTTAAAAATTAAGATCTCGTAAACTAAACAACAGTGCTCACAATCAAAAAATCTAACAACCAAAGAAAATACTTTTGTTATAGGTTTTCAAACATGTCTATCCATCTCCTGCTTGACGTTGCTTGATTTAAGGCGATTGCCGGTTACACAGCTTTTGCCCTCTACTTTCAAATATTGTTGAAAAAATCCTAAATTTTCTTGTTTTTGAGATATTGGTGGTGGACCTTTAAGCTCCGCTCTACCTTACATATATTTAATTTTTTGAAACGTATTAATATGCAAATAAATTAAATAAACAAATAATTGGCTGTATAATAATTTTCTTGAAGTTTAGATTTTGCCCCAGGAAAAACAATCGACTATTAAATTTTTACTGGCACTTCGAAGTACTTATATGTGTTCATTTTATGTAAAAATGGTAATTTTAATGTTGTGAAAATTTATTGGTAACAGCATGAAATAAGGTTTTTTTATTCCATTCCGTTAGATGTTTGATAGCCTAAATAAAAATTGTATATATGTTATTAAACTTTTGTTTCCAATGGGCTTGTTTTTTAGTTTATTGGTAATTGCTATTTATAGTATTTTTTAATACAATTTGAAACAGTTTATCAGTGCTTACAGATTATCATCAATAATTTAGCTTACGCATGTGGAATACTTGTTTTTAAACTTTGTTATCTAAATATTATTATAGATTAAACTTGTTATCAATAGTATTTTATTCATTTGCACGAATAATCGTGTATTCGTTATCGGTAATAGTGTTTATACATTTGCATAGATAATCATAATATTTAAAATTAATCTATAAATTGTTTATAATATACTTCATATATTATAAATTTAAATATTTTATGTTTGTTTAAAGTTGAATATTGTTTGTATTTTTCTACTACCATTTAAATTATTGATACTTATATATTTATATACATATAGAATAGTTAATTATTAGTCAATTGGAAAAATCATTAGCATCAGTGTCATCATTGAGCAGTTTTAATTGCAAATCAGATTCAATGCAATAACTATAAAATGTTGAATATTAATTTAATATCTATACATATCACACAGGAAAAAAGATCTTTTTAATTAATAAAGAACAAAGCTTAATTAAAATAGAAATAAAATCTTTAAAATATTAATACAGATTGTCTAAGTTGACTTGTTTATTGTTACAGGGATTTGAAACCAGAGAATGTGGTATTCTTTTCAAAACTCGGTATAGTGAAACTGACCGACTTCGGTTTCAGCAACCGCTATTGTCCTGGACAAAAGTTGCAAACTTCTTGCGGTTCTCTTGCCTATTCAGCGCCTGAAATTTTACTTGGCGACTCCTACGATGCCCCAGCAGTTGGTAAGAATTCGAAATTGAATGATTTCAGAAACTAGTAATTCTATTTATAATAAATATATATACCCTTTGAATGCTATGAGGTTATAAAACAATAAATCCGTTTTATGTTTTGTACACGAATTTATATTTATCATCACTTTTAGTCTTAAAAGTATTTATTCATTATTATTTATTCATTTATTAACATATAATTTTATGAGATGGTTTATTCAGAAAACTTCATGTTTCTCTGCAGTTTTTTTATTTATTTTTTCTAGAACCATATAACATTTAAGAACAAAGTATTTCAGAAAAAGTTAATTTTAAATGAACGTTAATATAATAAATCTAATTTTATTGTAACAGACGTCTGGTCTCTGGGGGTCATTTTGTATATGTTGGTATGCGGCCAAGCACCATTCCAAGAAGCTAACGACAGTGAAACTCTCACCATGATAATGGACTGCAAATACCAAGTTCCAGCTCATGTTTCCGCAGGATGCAGAAGGTTAATATCTTATAAAACAGACAAATTTTTTGCTTCTAGAAATATTGAAGACAAAACCAATTTATTACTTTTTATTGATTGTATTTTCATTTGTTTGGAAATCGAGAAGTTCCAGCCTTCTATTTAAGGCACATAACCATAGATTTAATTCTATCTAAATCCTAATACCTACGTCTGAATTATATTGCAGATTAATAGCTTCTATGTTGGTGCGTGAGCCAGAACGACGTGCTACTTTACAGCAAATTGCAACAGACTCTTGGCTTGTAGAGGGCGAAGGTCCACAAATAGCGACAGATTGCCTCCCATTGGTTTCACGCCATCAGGTTTCAGAAGTGGATCATAACCATATTGTACAAAAAATGATCAATGGAAATATAGCGACGAAGGATGAAATTTTAGAGTGAGTATTATTATAATCCACATTCTTGTTCATTTTCTTTTATAGTTTTTTTTTTGTTTTAAATTTTGTCCATTAATTTGAATTAATTTTATTATTAACAGGGCGTTGGACAAAAATGAATACAACCATATAACTGCCACCTATTTTCTTCTTGCTGAGCGTCGATTGCGGGCGCAGCGTCAACAGCAAGAAGCAGTTAGTGCAGGAAACACAGCTAATAGGAAGCGGCCTGTACCAGCTTCTCTTCCTGGAGTCCCCGGAAAAAATCCCGGAACGGATACACGAAACACTGATAACGGAACTGGACTAAATAACTCATCATGTCTTCTTCTGCCTCCTGGGGCGATGCCTTTGCAGAGCTCATTATTGGCGCCGCGTACTCCGGGAGATGGACCAGGAAGGTCCAGAAAATGCAGCATAGTACAGGTAATAAAATCATGTCAAAACGTAGAAAAATAAGAATGATTGATGATGTTTTGACTTTGTGACTATTATATTTTTTCAATAAAACGATATGTTTGGTTGAAATTTTCATGTTATTTGGTATATTAGGAGGCAGACGAAGATGACATGCCGACAGTAGGTCGTCCTGGCGAAGATTTATCAGTTGGTTCTGGTGCTGGACATTGTCTGCTATCGCGGCGAGGATCTCGATCAGAAGGACGACTTAATCTTATTCTGCAAGAGCGAATGTGCTCAGCAAACACTACAGTGAACAAAGTATCTCCGAAAGTTACAATAAATGTTAAAAACTCACCGAAGACCAATGGAACAACGCCAAAATCGGCTGCTGTAAAAGTAGACAATAAATGGTTAGTCACTTTTTTATATTTGCATGTGCCATGTTGAAAAAATATTATTTAAATATCATTTTTTTAGCAATAATGATGACAAATGGTCTCAGAATAATACAATAGAAACGACAATCCTAGTAGATTCTAGAACAGTGAATCTACCTTTACAAATTAATCGTGATAGCGTACACGAGACGAATTCTGAAGATTCTGCTGCAAATTCCTTCAATACACAACCAAAGTACAAAACGATGCCAGCTTCTGCAAGTCTTGGTACTGGTATTATGCTGAACGATATACCGGAAAAACAAATGGGTGATGATGAGAACGTCGCTCCCAGAATTAATGACATTAATGATTTAACGAGGCGATCAGCGGAACCGGAATCTCCTAGGCATTTTCAGACGCAGATGAATGAAAGGTTGAAACAACTGGAGCAAAAATCACAGCAATTATTAGAACATAGGTCAAATATGCAAAAAACATCAGAAGAATACATGGTGTCGGTAAGTAGAAATAAACTTTTGTGCTAAGATCATATTTTTATTAGGTAAAAGTAAAATGATTTATCACTATTTTTTTACCATCAGGAGGTATTTGAGGAAACGACTCAACAGCAGTATTCTTCAAACACTAACACACCAAAGAAGGAAAATAGTTGCGAAATTAGTCCTTTGCGGAATTCTTGTGATCTTGACAAGCAACAACCTGCAGTTCTGGGAGGTGGTGGTACGGTTTTTCCTCAAAGACGTGCAAGGTTCCACGCCAAAGGCCGGGCTCCTTCTTGTAGTTCATCAGATGCATCTGATGATGATTCGGAAGGTAGAAAAAAGAGACGAGCGCATAGAATTGCAGCGAGCGGCAATGGAAAACCTTTACCTGGTCGAAGGGATTCATATGATGATTCTAGTGACTCACAGGTAAATATTTTGCCATTTATCATGGTGCAAATGAGATGTGTTTTTGCATTATCCATGAATATTTCAAAGAAAATTTGAATAATTGTAATAAATTTTTCCGAACTTTTTCTATTTTTTTTTTCTTTTTTTATAGGATCCCAGTTGTGCTTGCGGAGACAATAATCGCAATGGACAAACCACTGTGACAAATGGTGGTCCAGTTAACAGTAACAGTGGCGGCGGAAGTGGCGGCCAAACATCAAATAATAGTTCATCAGGAAATGGTGGAAAACAATGCGGAGGACGTCGGCATAGATCACCAGGAAATACCAATAGTGGTTCACACTCAGGAAGGCGACGCAGCAGCGTTGAGACCCGTTTAAGGGAAAGCCAATCATTAAACAGGATAACAGAAGTGCAAGAACCTGCTCCAGCCGTCCACAGTATTATTATATCTACGACTTTAACAGCTCAGAAAATTGAAAATAGGTCAGTGAGTTATATGATATGAAATTAAAGACATTTATTAACGTTTCGTAGGCCAAGTTAGAGTAATGGACCGGAAAATCGAAAATGAAAATTTTTGCATATCTTCACGTTTAGGAGGTTTCTGAACATATTGGCATACTTCAGAAAAAATTCAGTGTGTATGTGTTTGTGTAGGTGTGTGTGTGGAGACCATTTTTCATCGACGATTTCGGGTGTACGGATTATACGATTTGAATCGTTCAAAAAACATTCGATTCCTATTGATGAGGAGACGTGCTGATTAGTTTTTGACGAAGACAGGTCTAGCGGCTTCGGAGATATGGAGCAAAAGTGCTTAAAATTTTATTTTTTAAGAGAACGGATCAACCGATTTATATGATCCAAAAAACATTCGATTCGTAATGAGGAAAAGTAGTGATTAGATTTTGGCAAAGGCAGGTCTAGCCGTTTCGGAGATATAGAACTGACTGTGCAAAAAAATGCACTTTTTTAGAGAAGAACCAAGCGTCCGATTTGAATGATTTAAAAAACTTTCTGCTTGTATTCACGAAACGATTGCTTTTGAGGAAAGATTTTTTTAATTTTTTTTTTAATCAACTTTTTTTTTAATATCGAGAAATGATTCGGATTTCAATTCAAATTCTAGCTCGTTCTAAACATCACTTAAATTCTTCAAATAAATGATTTTAACTCTGCAATTCAGTTTATATAATACTTAGAAATATTAGACAATGTTCTTCATTTTAAATTCGATTGATTAAGTTTTGTTTATTTACTTTTTATAAAATAAGAATAATGAAAGTTACATTATTTATAATAATATTTCATTTAGGTACGGGAAGTTCTAGCAATTTGTCTTAAGGCACGATGCCATACACCACTAGTTTTCATATTTTGACTATCGAATATAATACAAATGTAACATATATATTCATCAACAACTCTGTTTTTCTTTCATTTTATTAGTTCATTTTTGATTTTGAATATAGCCATTAAGTAATCATAATAAAACTTTATTATATACTTTTTCCTGTTTAAACATATTTTCATTTTATATTGTTGATCTTTTACTTTTAGCCATAATAATAAAACAAAAGGTTTTGGAGCAAGGCTTTTGCAAGGCTTATCTGGAAGGCGTTTAGTATCAAATTCTGAAGATGGGTCCACAAACAACAAAGTTGTGTCAGTAATGGAAAACAATAAAGAAAATTATACGTCCAACGGAAAAAAGTTGCGGGTTCTGGGAAAATATTTCCAGGTAATTTTATATAATAATATTGCAATATTATATCGATTCATCTCATCCATGCTTTAATATCAATTTTTATCATGCTTATTTCTTTATTATTTTTAATTTATTATAACACTATATTAACTTATTTCAATGATGATTATTTTAATAGATAAACGTAATAAATATATACAGGGCTGGTCTTACCTTGAATGCGATGCATGCAAAAAATGCGGGTGCACGCCTTAGGGGGCGCTACAACGAGTTTCGGATATGCAATTTATAATAAAGTTTTTTCAATATCATTTAAAAAATATATAATTTCTTTGCACCTAATAATCTTGTACAATATTTTTTAAATTTAACTTTGAAACAACAATCTGATAAGATACACGATGGAAAATATAGATGAAACACTGCGCCTTTACGATATCAATTAAGAAAAGTTTACGATACAATGTTTTAGATATATTTAATAATAAAAAAATAAATTAAAATAATACAACAGGAAGTACCAGAGTTATGTTTAATAATGAGAGGCTATAATTTTTTTGCTCTCTATGATTTGCTCAATGTAATAAATCGCATAAAATCCCCAAAATAAATAGGTAAAATGTTTCAAAACCCAAATATTATACTTGCACTATAAATAAATGAGAATTTAAAAATATTCTTGCAAGCAATAAGGAACATACTGAAATTTTTGTATGTCTTAAAAAGTTCAGATTGAAATACTAGGATTTGGCTAGAAAAAAATTGGCATGTGGGCGCTGAGTACCGCAGGACCGGCCCTGAATATATATGTAAATGTATTTAAACCTGTGCAAAAATCATAGGACTCATACTGAAGACTTGTCTATGTATAAAATAGACAATGGTTTGCTTTTCATCATATGTTTTAGGCTATTTTATTACTAGCCTGGTGTAATCATCAGCATTCATTCATCACAATGACATTAATATCTAATAGACAAAGTGAAAAAGCAACAAATTTCCATTACCTTCTCCAGGTTCATCGTAAACTCTGCATACCTCTACCTGGTCTATTTCAACGCGGCCGCATCTATAAAGCGCAATCTTGTGGTTCCTTGGAACCTCCTACTCCTGGAACCATAAATACATCTAAAAAAGGTCCGTTGGCAGATTATAATACACAACTTAACGGCGCTTTGGTGCCATTGGTATGCAGCGTGCATCTGGTCGATATTAACGAATGCTGTAGGATGTGTTAAATATTTATTAATTTTTTAGTCATCTCGAAACATGAATATACTTATTTTTAAAAGGTGACACGTTGACAAATAATTTAGTAAAATGTTTTATCAGGTCGATATGGGAATGAATTCTTATATCGTTTGATGTTTCCTGTAAGACAAGGCCAGTATTTTTTGGAATATACCTAATTCATGCTAAAAGGCGACTTGTAAAACAGTACAATTGAACAATTAGCCTTTTCGAAAAAATATCTGCAATATATATGTTTTCTATTTATTGATGAAGAGTTGTTTACTTGTTTGGGTTTACGAATCAATGAAAAACTCCAATCTGTAACACAAAAAATTCTAAATTTCTTAGTTTTATTGTAGTTATACATGAATGATCATATTATTAAATACTGGAAATTACAATAAATTATCTAAATCCATATAATAATAATAATAACCAATATCTATTCAAAAAATTAATAAAACGCTTCTAGCATATTTTTAAATGTACTGTATAAATAAATCAGTAAGGTGATATACACATGAAGATGCAATATCAAGAAATTATCGATTTATCTAAAATTTTAGCAATAATTTCCGATTAACGTATGCGGATTATTTAAAAAAATAACAAATCATTAAGTAATCTGTTTTAAGGAATGGAAGATATTAGTAAAGATCCCGGCTGGGTTAAGAAAGAGAATACAAGACTTCTAGTGAACGGTTCAAAACCGTATACGCTATAATTCTATTTTTATTTTAGTATTTATAACGTGTTTTTATCATTGGTATGGAACCCATTATTAACTAACGCTCATTTACATCTTTTTCCTGGGCGTTTTTGATTTTTTTCAAAGTTTTTTACGGTTCCGTACTATGTTATTAAGCGGTTTAAATAGAAAAGGTGACTGCTCTGAATGTATAAAATACAATGTAGCATGTGTGAGGTATTTGTATGATTTAGTTCAAAGTAGTTTTATGAAACAGAAGAGAAATTAACAAAATTATACAAAACCAAAGATTTAGATGATAGTTTTTCGCGATACCTTCCCGCAAGTATGTATGGTTTCGGTGCTAGTAGCATTTATATTGTTTGGTGTGTATGAATTATCCCTTTTTTTAAAAATAATTTAGGTAAATACTATTTTTAACTAAAATAAGATGATTTAAATAGTAGTTTTATTTTCATAGCACGAAATACTCATATGTATAGAATTTATTTAAATTTTATAAAAAGAGTGTAGTATAAAAATATTATATTTATTTATTTATGATACTTTTATGTGATGTTTTAAATAACGCGTTTTAATTCTTAATTAAAACCATTCCTTATGTAAGATGGAGCAATATTGTGTGTTAAACAGAAGTATACATTAAATGCAATCTAAAAACAAATAAAGATATTACTAGAGTCTGTTTATTGAATATTTATCAATTAATTATAAAATTGATGCTTTGCCAAATATATGTTTTCTTAATTAAAAGATAATATCTTAGAAAAAATATAGGAACAAATCGTTTTATATATGTAATATATACTAAAAATCAACTTCGTAAATAAAGGAACTTTATAGATAGTACTTATAAAAGTTATTTATTTTATTAGTTTCAATGAATAATTTCAAACGGATACTAGAATACATGATTCTTGCAAAATAATCAGTAATATTCGGAAATGTAATTTAAAATTTTCTAAATATCTAAATATGTTTATCTTTAAAATTAAATGAAAATTTTATGCTAAAAAGAATTTGCAGAGTAAAACCCATGTCAAGGTCGAAATTTTGCAATACCTAATCGAACGATTTCTTTAAATTTCCGATAGTTTCTCTTTACATCGATTATTTTTGCTAAGTACCATGTATTCCATTGTCTATTATATTTTTTTACTAAAATTTTCGAAACATTTGTATAACTTTAAGTGCATTTGTAGATAAATAAATTAAAAAGAGGTTTATATATGATGCACCACTGTTCGTTGTTATGTTTCAAAAATTTAATGTATTAAACATGCACTCTATATTTATGGAATGTATTCATTGTGTAGATACTATATTAATTACAAAATACATGTGTAATGTGAAATATATGGCGTTTCTCAAATTCTTCATTGTGGAATGTATTTCATCCATAAATGTTAAAAAATACAGTTCGATAATTCAATAAGTTGTTGGTTAATTTTTACAAAAAAAAATATAATACATATTTCAAAAATAACTTTACTCGAAACGATTACATTTAAAACAATTTTTCTAATATCCTTACGACCCGAATTTCGAATATTTTTATGCAAATATTTTTGCATATTTGCAAAAAAAAATATTTTAGCTTCAACTATATACGTAATTTAAATCATCTCTATTATAACAGTGATCGAGACGAATATTTATATATTTTTTTAAATGTTCAATTGTTATTCATATTAAATACGCCTCGGTTATTAGTTATTGAATAGATTTTTAAACACTATGGATTGGCAATATATTTTTTTATAATCTATAAAAATATAATTTTAATATTTAACACGAATACAATGGTTTCACACCAAAATTTACTAAACTATGTTCAAGTTAAATAGTCAAATAATTAAATATTATACTAAAATGTATTATTAAAACTCCAAAATATAATCAGTTTATAATTTATTTGTTCCAATTGTTTAATTGCATTACAATAATTCATCAAACTCGTTAATCATGAAAATATGCAATATCGATTTACTAAGATAATTTATGTCGAGTAATTAATAAAATGCATTTTATACAAAGAAATCGCTAGATCAGCTGGACTGTTCTTCAATCATATAGAAACATAATTCATTATCATGAATTAAATTTAGTTATACTGTGTTCAAAATGATGAAAACAAATTAGGCCGACTATTGAATGTAACGTAAAGATTTATTAAACTAGTTGGTTTTAGTGTTTTGCCTTGAGGCAAGTTACATGAACATCCCGATATCTGCAAATAATTGACTTAATCAATAAAAAATAAATTAATTTATGAGTGATTAAAAGTATTCCGAGTGGATTTATTACACACCATTGAAAGCGAACGAACACTTTAACTCGGAGTGTTTTGTTAAAGCAAATTTTCAAAAATCAACAATTTTTACAATTGAACCAGTTTCCGTAGGACTTTCATGGTTTAGTATGTTCATTAAGACCAAGTACTCTATAGTTATACCAAGTAAATCGTCTAATTTTAATTTTAACAAACGTCAAAAGAAACTACTCATTTTCTCGAACGTTGATGAATTTTTAAAATTAAACTACTCGTCGTAAGTCAGTAGTATTTCAGTAAGTTCTATAAGACTATGATATATATTGCCAAAAAAAGTTCCATGAGAATCGGCTTAATTTTTTTTTTTCAACAGTTAATTACAAGAAAACGGCTCGTTAGATTTTCATCTAAAACTAATCATTATCATTTCCAACTAGTAACTTCCGAACAGTTTTTGTTTTTTTTTTAATTTATTCGGTTGTATGAGCTTAAATGTGAATGAAAAGTGTAACTCTTTTTTTCAAATTACAAAGAAACGGCTCGGCAGATCGTCGCGCAAAACTGGCAAACGATCCTCATTGACATATATCAAATGGCTTTTAAATTTCTGAAATCGGTTCAGGCACTTTTGAGAAAACGTCGAAACGTTAACTTCTCCTTTGGGAAGTTAATAACAGAATTGCAAAATTTTGCATATGTTCTAGTTTACTAATATTCAGAAAATATGTACTAATATTTAGTCCGTTATAGTGATTATACAATGAATAATTTTATAGCTAAAGAATTGAATGCATATTAAGATATTTATATCTTATGCCTACTGGGTGATAAAAAGAATTATTCGGAAATACAACAAAGGTCAAGTTTAGAATCACCTTGGGAATAATATGATAATTAATTTAAAATAATAAAAGCCAACGCCCTAAGCGTTTGCATACGAAATCTATGAAAATATTTCATAATAAGAAGCCTCGCCCATATTGCGCCAAAGACCCACGACCATATTTATGATTATCATCCACGCGTCCGTAACATTTTATTTCTAATCATAATAATTTATTATTGTCTAAATCAAAGGCGGATGTGAAGTCGATCGATTATTTGCAAGTGATTTCAATTAGTGGACAAAATAGCAATAATAAAAAAAACTCGATGGCAATAACTTATGAGCAATAAATGCTGAATACTAATGTGGAATTCATATATGCTCATATAAAATTGATCTAATAATGTTTATGTTTATGTGCTCTGGATAGGGTACATTATGTATATTAATGAGGCAAAATCAGTTCTTTGACAAAATGTTTGTCCTTCAGCATTTGTACAGATTATTATGTGCCAGTAAGTTCCTTAAGTGGGTGCTATGATCTTGTCTAAGATATAAATGGAGACATCAGAAAAATTTATAAGCATATCACATCAGTTATTCAAATAGTGAGTACTGTGTTACCAATATACACAGCAGCGCTACAAAAATGGTGTTTTCAATCTTGTGTTGTTTGGCAGCTGCCTTTTCTGTGTCTTTTGCTCATCCAGGACTACTGACATATGGAGTTGCCGAATATCAACCAGTTCAACTTAGTTCTCAATATCATTCTCAAGACACCTTAGGACAATATTCGTATGGATACCATACACCAGAATCATCAAAAACAGAACAACGTTCTTTAGATGGTGTTACACGTGGTGCTTACTCTTACGTTGATGCCGAAGGAAAATTGCAAAGTGTCCATTACACGGCTGAACCAGTGCACGGATTTCAGGTAGTTGGCTCAAATTTACCAGAAAGTCCAGAACCGGTGAAAGATACTCCAGAGGTGGCTCAAGCTAAAGCTGATCACTTGAAGGCTGTTGAAGAAGCAAAATTGCGCAATTCTTTGGCTTCAGTACAGACTTCATCCACTCAATATGTTGCTCCAGTACGAACTTTGGCTTACAACGCTCCATATGTAGTACCTCATCATAGATTTGCTTATTCTACTTTTTCTGCAACTCCGTACACATATTCTCCATTGGCATATACTTATTCAGGAAATTATTTGCATGATACACCCGAAGTTGCAAGAGCTAAAGCTGAGCATTTTGCTGCACATGCTGAAGCTCAAGCGAGACACTTTGCGGCCAAATTTTCACATTAACAATGGCCATAACGTTTTTACAACTATTTTAAGTTTGTTATAATAATATTGAATAAAGTACAAAGCAATATTTTACGTTTATTTATTTATTTATAAGCATATATAACTTCAGATATATAACATTAGGATTCATATATTTTAATAGCTTTTTATTGTTATTGTTTGAACTATAGCTCTCTATGATAACATATAATTAACTTCCCGAAGGAGAAGTTTATGTTTTCATCAAACAATCCGAATTGCTAATTTTATGTATTCTCGACGTTTCAAGCCATTCTGAATCGAATGAGACCAAATTTGGAAAAAGTATGTGTGTGGTGAACAGATTTTTAGCCGTAAATCGAAGTTTTCTCAAAAACGGCTGGACCGATTTCTAAAATTTAAAAGCCATTCGATGTATCTCGATGAGGATTATCGTTTCTTAGTGTTGTGTGACGACAGGTTGAGCCGTTTCTTTGTAATTTCGAAAAAAGTGTTAAACTTTTCGTCCACATTTAAGCTCATACTACCGATTCGATTTTAGAAAATCAAAAACTGTTTGAAAGATAATAGTTGGGAATGATACTGATTAGTTTCAGGTGAAATCTACCGAGCCGTTTTCTTGTAATTAACTGTTGAAAAAAATTTAAGCCGATTTTTATGGAACTTTTTCTGGCGACATATATCATGGTCTTACAGAAATATTACGACCTTACGACAAGTAGTTTAATTTTAAAAATTCATCAAAGTTTGACAAATTCCACGATTATTTTGATTAAATTAGACGATTCACTTGGTATAACGATAGAGTACTTGGTCTTGATGAATATACTGAATCATTATGTAAAGGCATATGGAAACTGGTTCAATTATAAAAATTATTGATTTTTGAAAATTTGCTTTTATAAATTACTCCGAGTTAACATGTTTTTTTCGTTTTCAATTATGTGTAATAAATTCACTGGATATACTTTTAATCACTCATAAATTAATTTATATTTTATTGATTAAGTCAATCATTTACACATATCGGAAAATTTATGTAACTTGCCTCAAGGTAAAATACCAACTAGTTTATTTCACAGTTAAGATTGTGATATGATCAATCTCTAACAAAATTGATTGAATAATTACTGAATGTCTCTAATATTACTTTGCTAACAATATTTATGATACAATTTCTGGCCCTAAAGTTATTTTGTTATGCCGAAAGTTAAGTTAAGTTAATATAATAAAGTGTTTTAGAATGAACTTTCAGATCTTCTTTTTTCAGATATCTTTACATAAGTTTTAATTACGTTTGTTTTTTTTTATTCTTAAGGTCTTAAAATATTTGACTTTTTATGACTGTTTTAGTCTACGTGCGTTATGCACGTGGACTAAAACAGTCATAAAAAGTCAAATTATAAAAAAAAAATTAAATTAGTTTATATCGTTATCGTCAATAACTATATTTGAATAAGTATTATATTAAATATAATGTTTCATGTAAAATTAATTCTGAACTTTGTCTATACTAATTAAAAGTGAAAGTTAAATGCTTCGAAATATAGATTTTTGAATATTTCATAACATTTTCCCTTGAAAATATTTTGAGCATACAATTAGTGAAAGTGTTCTTCCTCAGGTCATTTAGTTGTCAAAAGTTATTTACTATATAAATGAGAATTATTGCATTTGTCAGCACAGTTCTCTCATTGTCAGTACAACGAACAACAGCAATCAATATGAATTCTGTATCAGTTTTGTGTTTTGTGGCCATAGCCATTTCTGCTGTGTCTGGACGCCCTGGATTTCTCAGCGGAACACCGTACTCAGTTCCTTACGTTAGTCCTTATGTTGCTGCACCGTATATTGCAGGAGGACAAGTAAGCACTCAATATCATTCACAAGATGATTTCGGCCAATACTCCTATGGATACAACAACGGATTCGACTCAAAGACCGAACACAAAACTTTGGACGGAGTAACCAGAGGATCCTACTCATATGTCGATGCTGAAGGAAAATTACAAAGCGTTCACTACACCGCTGATCCCGTTTTTGGATACCGTGTTGCAGCCACCAATTTGCCCGAAGACAAAGGAGTAGCACCAACACCAGTTGAAGACACTCCCGAAGTGGCACAAGCTAAGGCTGAGCACTTGGCAGCCGTCGAACAAGCCAAGAAAGGAATCGTTGCCCCTGCTGCTGATCTGCCCACTCCTGTAGAAGACACTCCCGAAGTCGCCCAAGCTAAGGCTGAACACTTGAAGGCTGTAGAAGAAGCTAAAGTGCGCAACGCTCTTGCTCCAGTCGAGACACCTGTTGCTAAATATGTGACCCCTTATACTGTCCCCTCTTTCAAAGTCCCCATTGCAACTCCTTATGTTCCTATCGCCTCCCCGTTAGCCAGCACTATTTCCAGCTCTTATAACCCATTCACCTATTCTCCTTACTACTACTCCCCATTGAGCTATTCTGGTTACTTGGGTAACCATTTCAACTATGCCACATATCCTTACACATACAAATTTCCAGAAATCAAATCCGACGTAGTCACTAAAGTTGGATTCCCATATGCCTAATTTGCATAAAATATCTATATATTATTTATAATAAATGATACCTGAACAAAAAGATAATTATTTTATTATTCTAACTTTCAGCCAGATTTGCAATAATTATTGTGGATGGTGTGGTTATTTACTAAATTTCAGATGAAGTTTGTTGAATATATAATGTATATAAAGCAAACAATAACGATGAATGTAGAATTGTGAATGAAACAAGTATGTAGTGATAGTATGCTACATTAAAAAATATTGAATTTTTTTATTTATTTTATTTATATCATTATTTTCACTTATTACAGATATGAATATACACAAAATTTTATAATAAAAGGAATATTAATTTTTTCATCTTTTTCAATACTTTGCGCCCTGAACCTCTTTGGACGTTATTTACCAGCAACTCAATGCCGTTAGCAATAATTACTTATTATTAGTGTTGAACGCAAACCTTACTAATTGTTGTCCTTTACTAATTGTAACGATTTTTTTTTATTTTTATGCAGCAATTTTTTGTGTCCGTCAGTAATTGAGCTTAATTTAATTGCTTCCAAACCTAATCTATGGAATAATGTGAAGAGCTCATGCTTTTCGTATACACAATTGAGATAAAACAAATTAAATATTACTCACATTGTAGTAATAGTAGGACTAAATATGAACTAGTGGTGAATGACATCGTGCCTTAGGGCAAATTGCTGAAACTTCCCGTACCGTAACCTTAAATTTTTGGTACGTAGTATGGTATTTTTGCTGCGTAGGTGTTTTAAACGCAGACTAACGGTTGGTTAAACATTATAAATATTGCACATAACGGTTAAACATTATAAATGAACAATTTCTGTACTTATTATTAAAATCTCTATAAAATATCTGATAATTTAAAACATTTCTTATTGGATTCCCGAACCGGTAGGGTCTGCCTTCCAAAATATTAATTATTTTTTCATTACGTCAATAAAAGTAAAATGTTATTTGAATCATTCAAATAGGACGCTCCGTTCTTTCAAAAACTAAAAAGCTATTTTTTGCACGATTTTTTTAAATTCATTTAAATCGGTGCTTTCAAAAACGTCGGCGAAAATTAGTATTCGCGCATACATACTACACACACACACACATCCAGTTTTTCCAAGGTGTGCCAAAACGTTCAACAACCTTTGAAACGTAAATATATATAAAAAAATAATTTTCGTTTTTTTTTGAGATTACTTAACATACCCTACAAGAAGTTAATTTTAGATATAGATATATTATAGATAAATATTTTGCGTATGAAATAATTAGAAGAATCGTTTGATTTTTTTCTTAAAAGATTGTTGTACTGAAACATTGGACATGGTGAATAATTGATTTTGCAAATAGATTTAGTTTAGTGAGGAGTTTCTGAGAAAATTGTAATTATAGCAACGAATTCGATTTTTTAATTGAAATTTTTTTTCAATATTTTTTTTCGAGAATTGAAAGTATGAAACTGTTTGGAATGGAGGTATATAATTCTGGATTCTAAATATTTTTCTTCAGATTATAGAGTACCTCACAAATCAAATACCTGTACAAATATTTGATTTGATGCAATGTTATCGTAATCGAACTACTGGTTTTTAGAATATTATCAATATATTCCATAAAATATTATTATTGTGTTGAATGTAGAATATTATTAATGTGTTACAGAAACACAAATACATAATAATGTACAAATACATAATACATAATAATGCACATACACAAATACATAATAATGTACAATATACATACGATTTTGTAATATCGAAGAATAAAATACAAAAACGATGTTTAAAAATTGCAATATTTAGTTTATTATATAATAGGGAATATTAAAATACAACGAGTGATTTGATCTTATTAGTAGGTGCCAACTTTGGCAACATATTGGACAGTTTCAGGAGCATAATGTCTGAAGACGGGTGTGGGGACACCGTGAACGTATGTGCTGTAAGGAGTCACATATGGTGTGACGTAGTTGAATGTGGGCGCCACATAAGGAGAGACGTATCTTACTAATGGAGCTTCAACAGGAACAGGAGCGAGGGCGTTGCGCACCTTAGCCTCTTCGACAGCCTTCAAATGAGCAGACCTGGCTTCGGCAACCTCGGGTGTCTCTTCTACGGGAGTTGGCACATCACCTGAAATGGGAGCAACGTATCCTTCCTTGGCTTGTTCGACAGCTTTCAAGTGTTCAGCTCTAGCTTGGGCTACTTCTGGTGTGTACTCGACAGCAGATGGAGCAGAACCGGAATCCTCAGGCAAGTTGGTTGCAGCTACACGGAAACCGTTAACAGCATCAGCAGTGTAGTGGACGCTTTGCAGTTTTCCTTCGGCGTCGACATATGAGTATGATCCTCTGGTCACTCCGTCCAAAGTTTTGTGTTCGGTCTTTGAGTCGAAGCCATTGTTGTATCCGTAGGCGTATTGGCCGAAATCATCTTGAGAGTGGTATTGGGTGCTCACGTGTCCTCCGGCAACATAAGGAGTTGCTACGTAAGGACTCGCAACATATGGCTGTTGGAAAAGTATTCCTGGGCGAGCTGATACTGCCGAAAAGGCTACAGCCACAAAACACAAGATTGATACAAAAGACATTTTGAATTCTTTGTTATATTTGTTGTTATGACAAATGATTACTATACATTAGCAGTGAAAAAAATTCGTTTATATAGTAATAAGAGTGCACTATTTCTTTTGGTGTGGACAGTGAAACTTGCAAGGTCGTTTACTTAAAAGATGTTTGATGACAATATATGAAAAAAAACTCGTATGGGTATATTATATATACATATATATATATATATATATATAAATATATATTATATAGATATGTGTATGTGTGTGTTTTGTTTGGGTATGTGATTTATTGTATCCATGTGCCTGTTTTGTTGATTAATAGAAATAATTATGGGTCATTGCTCTCCAGTAAATTGTATACCATCATTTTTTAGTTAATTTTTAAATTAACGTATTTCATAGGTTTTTAAACGTTGTCTTTTCCTAGGGTGTAATCGGCGAAGGGGCGCGGTTGTGTGAAAGTAATTTAGAGATACTTTCATAGGAAAGGGATCTTTATTCATATTCAAGAACATTTTAAATTACATAGTATCGAGATAATAAAAATAATTATAATTTATATAAAATTCTATAACTGAATCACTTACACTTACATTGCTATAAATAATTATTGCTCTTTATGAGGCTAATCCTGACAAATAAGTGCATTATTAATTATATATTAATTATAATATATATTAATATTAAGTAATTAATCTAAACGATATATATTATATATGTGTCTGGAATATGACTAGAATATATATATATATATATATATATATAATATTTAATTGTTTTTAATTAATAATGCACATATTTGTCGGGATTAGGCTCATAAACAGCAAGAATGATTTATTGCAATATAAGTGTATTAGTCAATTATAGTACTTTATATAAAATATAATTATTATTTTTTTTATTAAAAAACTTTTATTGTGTTTCTAGCATGTTTTTTTCCTTAAATGTTAATTCTGTGGAAGGGGTTCTTAGGAGATAATGCTCTTGTTGATTTTTTAACTTCCCGTAGGGTAAGTTATAGTAATCGCAAAAAAATCGAAAATGAAAATTTTTATATATCTTTACGTTTCAAAGGTTTCTGAACAGTTTGGCATATCTTACAAAAATGGATGTATGTGTGTATGTATATATATATATATGTGTGTGTGTGCGGATACAAATTACGTCGACGATTTCGGGAATACCGATCAACCGATTTGAATAATTCAAAAAACATTCGATTCGTATTGATAAGGAGACGTGCTGATCAGTTTTTGGCGAAAGCAGGTCCAGCCGTTCCAAAGATACGGGGCAAAAAGTGCCAAAAACAGCAACCAATTTTAATAATTCAAAAAAGATTTTACTTGCATTGATAAGATGAAGAACTGATTAAATTTTTGGGAAGGCAGGTCCAGAGGTTATGGACACTCAATAAAAATAAGTTAAAAAAATGTCATTTGGTAATCAAAAATGCTTATTGGACATATGTAGGTACATCAAACTATCAGATATTTTATTAGAGATTTTCATAATGTGTAACAATTTGTGTAATTTTTTTGGATTCCGTACTAAAATTTTTAATTACGGTACGGGAAGTTTCAGCAATTTGCCTTAAGGCACGATGCCATGCACTCCATTAGTTAAGTAGTTATTTTTGAGATAAACTGTAATACTACCTACAATGCATGTTGTTCTTTCATAAAAATAATATTCTCTAGGCACGCGTATAAAGTCTCAAAGGTTTTTCACCCTTCGAGTGTGACGCCTGCGCATTTCGCCGAGATCGTAAAATCAACTGGCCGCTGCTGCGGAGTGTAAATAACAACAAAAGCCCGTACAATCGGCTCAACGATTACAAATTATACATCTGCAATATCTTATTATTAACAATTTAGGTACTTATCAAGTTTAATAATAATGAAATATTAAGAGTGAATCTTTAAAATAAAGTGCTCGGTTGTTGGAGGTGTATTTACAATATAGCAAGGAGTTTCGGTGCAAAACTTGATATGGATTTCAAGGGCAAGGTGGCTTTAGTCACTGGAGGAGCTTCCGGGATCGGCAGGGCTTACTGTGAAGAATTGTTGAAGCATGGTGCTAAGGTATGTTGTAATAAATATGAATAATAATTTATTATAAATAATTTACATTTATATTTATGTGCATATGCATTTTTTAGCAAATACCTGCATGTATATAATGTGCATATGCGAGTGTGTGTGTTGTGTGTGTTTTCTAATTAATTCGCCTCCTTTTCTCAAATTTTTTTATTCCATATTTCATTTTTAAATAATTTCTACGTTTCAGGGATGTAGGTTTCTTTCAAGGATTTTTAAAAACGAATGAAAAATAAGATCTTTTAATTATTTGAAAACTGCAACAATTCTCTTTTTACGTATTTCTACTAATTTGTATCATATTCCCGAAACGATAATATTTAAAAATGAAAACTTAATTTTCAAAGGAGTTTCAAACATTATGCCTCAAAAGAGAAATTTCCAATTACCTGCTCCACAGAAAATTAAAAAAATGCATCATTTTTATAAGTAATTAATAATATTTTTATGATTATAATTAATATTTGTTATTCTGATTACTTTTTTATGAATGACTATTTTGATTCATATTATATTATCATCTTCATACTACCCTTTATTTGTACAACAAAAATATTAACTATGACTCAAGTTTCATTAACTTCCCGGAGGAGAAGATTATGTTTTCATCAAAAAATCCTATTCGCTAATTTTATGTTTTCTCGACGTTCAAGCTTTTCTGAATGGAATGAGACCAAATTTGGAAAAAGTATGTGTGTGTGTGTGTGAACAGATTTTTTGCCGTAAATCGATGTTATCTCAAAAACTTTGTAATTTTTAACACACATTTAAGCTAATACTACCGAATCGATTTGAAAAAATCAAAAACTGTTCGAAAGATATTAGTTCGGAATGATACTGATTAGTCTTAGGTAAAAATCTGCCGAGCCGTTTTCTTGTAATTAACCGTTGAAAAAAAAATTGAGCCAATTTTTATGGAACTTTTTTAGGCGATATATGTCATAGTCTTATAGATCTTACTGAAATATTACGGCCTTATGACAAGTAGTTTAATTTTAAAAAATCATCAAAGTTTGAGAAAATGAGTAGTGTTTTTGATGTTTATTATAATTATAATTAGAAGATTTACTGTACAAACGATAGAGTACTTGGTCCTAATGAACATACTAAACCATTAAAGTTCTACGGAAATTGGTTCAATTACAAAAATTGTTGAATTTTGGAAATTTGCTTTTAAAAAATATTCCGAGTTCACGTGTTCGTTCGTTTTCAATTATGTGTAATAAATCCACTCGGAATACTTTTAATATCATAAATGAATTTAGTTTTTGTTGATTAAGTCGATTATTTGCACGTATCAGGAAGTTCATGTAACTTGCCTTGAGGCAAAATACCAATACCAACTAGTTTATTCTTCTTTTAACTATCGATTCATATAGCATTTAACACAATGATGTTAATATTATGGATTTTGAATATTTGTCTGTATATTAATTGCATATAATTTATTAATATTTATTAATTTAAAGGTATCAATTTGCGATCTGGATCTGGATGCAGGTGACGAACTCGTCGAACAATTGAAAGAAATTTACGGTCAAGAATCTGCTATATTTTGTCAATGCGATGTCACCGATTATCCACAATTCGAAGGTATAATAATAAAAACAATAATCAATTTAGGAATAAATAATTATATTACCATTTCTTCGTAGAATCATTTCAAATGACAATTTCAACCTTTGGACATTTAGACATTGTCATTAACAATGCAGGAATTATGAATGATAGGTTTTGGGAGCTTCAAGTCGATGTTAACTTGGTATGTTAATTTATGATAACGGAAGAGATGAGAGATTACTCTTAAATTTAATAATTTTGAATTATAATTTCTATTTCTATAATTTTGATTTATATTTATAATTTCCAGAATGGTGTTATTCGTGGTACTCTACTCGCATTACGATTTTTGGGGAAGGACCAAGGTTACCAGGGTGGAATTTTGGTCAATACCGCCTCATCAGCTTATTTTAGACCTCAAGTTTCAACCCCAATTTATACTGCTACTCAGCATGCTGTTGTTGGATTAAGTCGATCATATGGGGTATGATAATAATGTATATATAATATATTCAATATATCTTATATATAAAACTCTTCTATAATGATGTATGATTAGATACTTTTCCTAAACGGTTATTCGGATTTTGATAATTCTTTTTAGAGTTTGTCAAAGGAAATTTTTAAGATTTAATGAACGATAAAACTATAGTAATATTGTAGAAATAAATGGCAAAAATTACAAATAATTACTTATCATTGTGTGACATTGAAAACATTTGAACTGTCAACTGCTAGAAATGTCTAGTCACTTAAAATTTGAATTAAGCTGAAATTACGAGTCTGGATAATATTAGAATATAATATACAAGAAAAATTTAAAGTCTACATTATCATTGCCGAAAAGCAGCTGAGATGTGCAGAAATTAAAATAATATAAGATACAGTCAACAGTATATGTTTGGCAGATGAAATTATATAATTCAGTTTAATAAATAACGCAATAAGTCCAAAATTGCATATACATTTTTTTTTAAACTTATGCATGTTGCATTTTGCTTTACTTTACTAAATTATTTAACAATACAAAAAATATTTCTATTTATTAAAGAAAAATGATTTAGAATTTTGTTTCATGTGCCAAAAATTCATGCCATTCCTTTGGATATGGAATATTTAGCAAGCTGATCTTAGATTTAAGAGTGCTCATATGGTCATATGTACTAGATTTTACAAATTAATTCATCTAAGATTTGAGCATAGACAATAATGTTTATTAAATTATTGATAAAAAAAATGTACTTTAGAAATTATGATTGCCAAAAAGCAACTAATATATCGTACGAGATTATGAAAATTATAGACTAAATTATTGAAGCAATTATGTTGTGTGGTAAAATCAAGTGTGATATTGTTTTTTTACCGCAAATATATTAATTTTTTCTGAATTTCTTATACTGCTTATACTAAAACCATAAATGAATCACAAAGGCAGGACATCAAATAGGATACTAAAAAGTATAGGATAGGGTAATAAAAAATTAGGAACTTTTAAATTGTAGACGTGGGTATAGTCTGTCGGGTCATCTAGTATATATATATATATATATATATATATATATATATATGTATATATATTCGAATTTACAAAGGTTTCTTGAAGAAAGATTGAATGTCGGTTGGCAACGCGGAATTTTTGGGCAATTTTGCCGTAAGGCAAAATGCCATTTACAATACACCTGTTATTTTTGGCCTAAGAACACATACTTTTAGTTAAATCGCTCAAAAACCAGTTTAGTGCATTGTCTTTACATGTGCTTTGCAATGAAATAACATTAAATAAATTTACCATTGATTACCATTTTAGTTTAACAGCACTATTAGTAGCATAAGGATTCAAATATATTAAATTGATTTTTTTCTATTTTCTAGGCTGCATATCATGTAGAAGAACAGGAGTTCGAGTGATAGCCCTGTGTCCAGGATGGACTTCGACCGCTCTGGTAGGTGATATTAAGAACAACTGATGTCTGCTGATTATGAAGCAGCATGGAAGGCTGATATCGCAAATCAGATTCAACAGAAGTAAGTTCAATGAAAAGAAATTTAATATAAATTAAAAAAAAATTATTTTCAAATTAAACTTACATACGAGATGTAGAATAACCGAGTAGTAAACACCGAGTGGCGGTAGCAATTTGAAATCCACATTGATTCCACATGGGTGTCACAGCGTTGTGGCACGCTTATGGATTTCAGGTTGCTGCCGCTGCTCAAACCACATGGTGTTTACTGGGAAATTTATACATTTACTAAGTTTATGTGATAGTGTTTATAAATATTTTTATAATTTT